TCCAGTACTCTTTGTCGGTCATCACAAACATTTACATCGCATGTGAATGCATACAAACAGTGGGGAATTAACGATCTCCCAAGGAGTGAAACCCACACAAAAAACACCAGAAGTGCCTGATACCTCTGAATAATCGAATGGGCTAATCCAAGCTTGATACTCTTCTGTTTTCCCACTGATTCACCTTAGTTAAACGTGTAAACCCACCTCAGTCACAATTTTCAGAACAGGTTTCCTGTCCTTTTCGGCCGGTATGACGTTCGGTTTTCCGAATAACAATCCTGCCGGAGCTTTAGTTGGCCAGGTGCATTTGCAATGTGCAGTCAGTCTCATTACTTAGATGAATGGATGTATTCTTTTGCCGTATTCTCTATATTCCCACAGTCATTTGCATTGATGCGTTGAATCAGTATAATTAGGAACGGTAGTCATTTGTGCTGAGTTTCGCTCTTCCCATTCCCCACACACACCTTCAACTGAATGAGATATACGGTCCTGTGATGCTACCCACAATCCTGATCCTTGCTGAGTCAAACTACTCCAACTGTTGAGACGAACTATAATACATTTAAAATAGCCAATGAACCGATTAATTGATTATTTCTAACTATTATTACTAACTCTATCTTCATTATATGATGCATGGGATCCCGTCAGAAATTATGATTAATTACTACTCAAGGTCACCAACCACGAGAGTGATTACGGATATTGGGTATGAATGTTGGATCATTCTAGACCACCCAGATCATGTATGTATTCCTAATCAGATTGGATCGATCGTCCTGATAGGCATAAAAATAGATTCTATTTAGAAAGGCTTCTGGTGCTACTGACAACGTACACAATATGCTAAATCTAGGGTTGTGGGGGGAGGAAAATTTTGTTCACGGGACGCTTCTGAGTGATATATATATATATATCGCTCTACGCCACGTCACGCATTGTATTCATCTTGATCGAGTCACCAAATGCCTGGGGCTTCTAAAATCCAATGGGATAGTCCACGAAAACCGTTGTAAACTTTTAGACATTACGAAATTGGTATTCATACAACAAAATATCTCTCCTCAGAATTCCCACACGAACATAGGATAGGCAATGAAACGGTCCATCAATAAATGCGCATTCCTGTGTTTACCATATTGAACAGAGCAATTCACTTCAACAGGTCTTGTTCATTTTTGACCGTTGAAAGAAATCGCCACCCGCATCCTTTTGCGAACTACTCACAAATATGAGTAGTATCTTACAACACTGGGAACTTCACTTTTTTGAATCGCTACATCATTTGTTCTTGTTAGGCCACAAAGTTGACTGGAACCTCAAGAGTTTTGCATGGCTATTCTAGTTTACGATAAATCAGAAACAACTGATGAAAGGGTTGATGATTCAAAATGTTCGAAAACATGAATACCCTCAAACTCCGGGTGCAGAAACTTACATCTTTGATTACCTCTTTCAATGAGGTCTGTTTCAACTGAATCGGTTGACCGCTGAATATATTGCCCAGCCCGATACCGGTAACTCGTTGTGATTTGGTCGTGCTCCCGGATCGATTGTCCTCCGATTCCGCCGCGTCGTTGGCTTTTTTACCCTCCACTTTTGGTTCTTTGACCGTTTCGACAGACGGGATACTCTGTGAACAGTACAATGTGAACTCGATCAGACAGAATTGATGAATAACGAAAAGTGAAGTTTCCCGCACCTTTTATTGTCTAACTATTAGTAAGCGGTAAAAATAGTGCAATAAACCAAAAATTAATATCACAAAAAGGAAATGCTCACCATTCCTCCGCTTAAAGTGAACTCTGTTTATGAGAGGTGGATAAATGAACAGGCCGAGGATAATAAACACTGCTCACAATAGGCACCGCCTTTAGCACACCGTTTCCCATCAAACTAGACGAAGCTAAACGAACCCCGTACTTCTTGAGCCTCGACCACTGTAATTATGGCAAATAAGGCAGCGTTAATAAACTGATGCTAGTTATGGGAGTGTACTTGTGTGAACGGTGTTTACTATCCTCGGCATGTTTATGTGTACATGTCCCATGGACAGAGTTCACTTGAGTATGCAAAAACAATTTACCGTTTGTGTTACAATTGAGAGTTTTACTCACGGGAGTATCGCATCTTATACGGAAACACTGATGCTGTATAAGATGTGTCAAATGGTTTGACGATAAGGGCACATCAGCATGTGGTGCAACCGTAAAGGCTTCTTATTAAATAAGTAAGCTCTGCAACATCAACGTTTATAGAAAATTTTTTTTAAACATCCGTTGATTTCCGAATATTTCGATACTTTTTGATCTGACTCGCCTACTTCGGCGTGACTAAAGTTTGTGCGTCAAGACTAAAGGATTGTGGGTTTTGCCTAAAGCTTGATGGGAAAAGATGTAGCTAACTGAACGAACACAGAAGATTTGTGTAGGAGTATAACAATATTTCATGGCGAACTTTAACTTGCCGGATATATTTTCAAAAAATTGAGTTTCGAACTTTGTGTAAATTTATTCATTTAAGGATGCTTGGGAACAGGTTGTGTAATACACAACATGGTTTAAATATTGCGAAAATCTACGATGGTTCCAAAAGCTGTTTTGGGATGATGTGTTAAAAACAACGAGTCACATATTTTCCCTATGCTATGCCGACTCACAGTTGTCATAGCGGCCAGGCTGAAGGACTACGGGTCGTGGCTAAATCATTGTGGTTTTGATTAAAGGAATATCGGTCGAGGCTAAGGGATTGTGGGTTTCGGCTCAAGGATTACGAGTCGATGATGAAGGACTGCAGGATTTGGCTAAAGCTTGATGGGAAAAGGTGTAGATAGGGGGTGGGTGGGGCAACGGGAGACTGTATACGGAAATGAGAAGGATAGACCGGGAAACGCATACTTTCCGGGCTGAAGATAACCAAAGCCAGCAATGCCTTCCATAGCAGACCGTCGGCTATTTCCGCATCAAATCCGTGGTTATCAGAGGCTCTAGCAGGAAGCTGTTAGATTTGGCATTTCTAAATTTAACTGCAAAATTTAAAAAGGTTTCAGGCTTAACAAAATAGTGAAAATTTTGATAAGTATCAAACACAAAAATTGGGTTGAAGGAAAACTAGTGGATCGGAATCATCAACTTCAACGTGTGGTGGACTGCTGTTGCACGAGTGGGTTAGCCCAGCTCCCAATCTCAAACAAACTGAGGAAGTGGTGGATTCAGAGAGAGAAAGAAGGGGGGCGAGCAGACAAATTTCGTTTCTTAGACGGCTTCATTCCTCCTCACCCCCACCCCCCTCCTGAGTGGGAAAAACTCTAATCCAATTCATTTGCACACACACCACCGCGAGACTCGGTTTTCAGTGAACAGTGGAGTGTATCCTACAACAGACACTTAACTCTTAAAGAAAAGGGATAAACGCCAACCATGGGTGCTCAAAAAGCGCTACTACCACACCACGTAGTGGCCACTGGACACGTGATGTCGAAGATAGACACACAGTTCTAGGAAGTCGCGGTAGCACACAACCCAAGTTTTCTCAGGTTGTGATAGGCTCGATCGTGTTTTGTATATAGGTGAATAGGCCTTCTTGATATGTTGATTTTCCTGCAGCAGACAGTAGTTGGAAGAACACACTAAGGAGGGTTAAATCATCCGTGCTAGCATTAACACTGTTACTAGTTGGTTTGATCTTGTAGAACACGTCAGAGTTAGTGGTGGAACATCCGGGAACATCCGAATCAGTCATCATCATCAGTAGGGAATAAATAGATGATTAGCATTAACAGTGGCACGCGCACGTATCTATCCTCTTCCGGTGCACGTCTAGTTCTGTCAACTTTGTATTTTTGCTTATCATCTGCTTTCATTTATTATCCATATTTGACTTTTTGACAAAATGATTGATCAGAAGACAGTGACCAAAACCGGTACACGAATAATCGAATACAGAAACAGAAACCTGGTGTTGAATGCACGAAGACAAATCAACCAGTTTGTATTCACTCCACCTCGGTGCCATCCAATTTTACTATTTTATTCTGTCGTCGATGGGACAACTTCAGTAAGCCAATTCACAATCCGGTTGAACGATTGCATCCTTTCAAATTGGCCTCGTCTGTCACCTAAATGACTGGTGGCCCAACCAAGCGGACGAGGCAAGAGGAAGCAAACCAACCAACAAACCCAAAATGTTAGTCTCATGTCTGGATAGCGAACAATTTAGATAATTTACAATAAAAAAACTTATCGTCTTCACATTGTGTGGGCTGGGAACAATCTCATTGTGATACAGCATGCCACCGGGCGTATCGATCGTGTTTTGGGTGGACTCTTATTACTGTTCCCCTTGTGAAACAGACCGCAACTAGTTCGTCTCGTACACTTGTCCCTAAGTGTGTGTCTGTGTTTGAGTGAGCTGATGTGCAAGCGGAATTCGGGGGTTCATAGAAGCCATTTTAGCTACCGACTGATCACCAATTACCATCAGCAGCAGCAGCAGCAGCAGCAACAGGAGCATTAACAATCATCTAATGAATTTCTAACTATACAAAAGAGCTCTATACGAAAGCAACCAAACAGGGCGTATCCCTATGCTGCTCGATTAAGTATCACCGAGACAATGTACACATATGCCAATGCTATTCAAGTGTGAACTTGTCTCCGGACAATGTCCACATTTTACGTGTCTAATTGTATATGACGGTCATCCGGACACGACCCAATTCGATATTGGTTTGTGCTGATGGGGAACACTGTTCACTTCTAGTGGATGGTTCTCGGTATGTACTGCTACAGTTTTCTCACGAACGGTTCAAGCGTAAGCGATACACTATTAATTCAACTGTGTGAGGTTTTACTTTGATAAGGAAGCATCGATCTGGATTGACTCCCCCACCCAGCCACCCACAGTAACTTCATCTTCACGGAAAATTCTCTGTGCATTTGGTCTACAACACACACGGAAAGCACGAGACTCAAGTTTCGCTCTAGACAGAGTTCATCAGTCCTACCTATCCGCCAGATCATCTCATCATCATCATCATCAACATCAACATCATCATCATCCGGACCTTTCTGATAGAAAGCATATGTTTTCACTGTGAAAATCAAGGGAGCACAGTAGATACTGTTCGTTACACTTGAAAGTCTCTTACCAACTCAGTTTCTCAAGTAATTTAAATATGTTAGCACGATGAAGAGAATCAACGGGCTCATTCAAGTAGATTTCTATGATCAGGTTTGATAAGGCATTGCATTTGCAGTGTCGCAACCCCCCTAACCCCTCGAATTCACTGTGATAAATCAATCCTCTCGCTAAAATGTATGCTAATGAATACTACATAGAACTGATTGAAAAGGTTGCCACATTCAGCCGAACGGTAACACAACTTTCTTATTTTTCATTTTTACTTCCTTCCTTTGAACATATAGAGATACAATTTTCAGGAAGGGGGAATCAGCCAAATAAAGGGCTGCCATTCAACACACACACAACTGGGGAAATTCAGGCGCTGGTTGTGGTGGGGTTCGAACACACGCCCCCTGGGGTGATAATTTGGTGACAGTACCACCGGGCCATCACCGCTACTCACTAAAATGAGATTGTCTGTGGTTTTGTGGGGTTCATACCCAGAACCCCAAAGTAAAAGTAGAATGTAAACACAAATAACCATCAGTAGAACCTTTTTTATTGATCCATGTGGCGCCTGCAACAAGAGCAATTGCATTACTTCTACTTTCCTTGGGTTTATCAAGTGCCTGTTGCTGACTGACAGGAAGTGAAATCCTCCCTAACCTCTTCACGGGATGGATGATCGTGACGGTTTAAAAGAACTACCATTTCACACCTTTGTGGTATGCTGAGAATTCGCACTTTGGTTGGCCCGAACACGGCCGCATGAGATGACACTGTATGCCATTATTTACTAAGAGCACAGCATATGGGTGCCTAGCGTTTTAAAATAGCAACACACCAGAAATTGATCGATGATTTGTTTGTCATGAGAATGCCAACTCTTAGACCTGGGGATAGTAACATGCGTGCACAATCGGAAAGTCTATTTCACCGCTTCAATGCTCCGTGGTATGAAGAACGGATGTGAGGATATGGAACAATAGCTGATCGATAAAATGAAGTGAAACTGGATATGGTGGGAAATTTGATGTCATGTAGCAGTGGAATTTGTCAAGCAAGAGGCAAACAAAACCGCAAACGAGAGATACTGAAATGTAGTGGATCTAATTCAGTTCATTCCCTTACAGATAAGACTTTCCTATTCCGTGGCTCGGTTTTGCTTGATCTCTTCTCGGGAGCGTAGCGAAACGAAAGGATAAGAACAGCAGTACCGATAGGATGATACCGAATGAATGTAAAAAAATGTGCACAAGCGTCAGCGTTTACGTTAATCATCCATATATGGGTGTATGAGAAATAAGTAAGCTAGTCACGATGTTCCCAATTGTCAATCCTAATGTGACTCATGCACAATCAAGATTTTTGATGCATCCCTTTGCCCCCCCCCCCCCAGTCTTAGTCAAACGTGCTCTCATCCCTGGATTTTTGACGCTCTCACATTTTCCCCGTCAAATATGGCACACGAACGACGATGAACATAACATGCCGACCGATCACAAACGGGATTGGGATCAAGCAATTGAGCTGGTGCTTGACCGTATAAACTTGATACAGTTTTCCTGTAATTTTAATATGGATTGTCTGTTTGTCCCTAAGGCACACTAGAGTGTCATGTAATTTAGACAGAGTTGTTGAAAAACTCTGATGGTTTGTGTTTATCTGTGATCCCCCAAACAGTGATTTATGTGCATCACCAATCAGTCTGTTGGAATCAGTCCAAACTAGACCTGTTGGATAGTAGTCGAATTTTCCCTAGGTTCCAAAAGTGTCCTAATATGACTAACCCCATTCAAGCCTCTTGTATGTGTGACGACACAATAATTGACATTAGTCTGCTGTGAAAGATGTAGTTCCCATTTAGCCAAAGATGTCTGCAATCCACCTCTTCTTCTGCACATTATCATTACAGATGTCGCTGAGCCACTTCATCGATGCACGTTCTTCGTGAGCAATTGAAATCGTCCACCGGATCACCGAGCAACTCCGACTGAAGTGTTTGATTCTGTTTCTGTATATGACATGGTCTAGTTTGTCTTTGTTTGTGAAAACTTTAAATCGAAATAACTGATAGAAAAGATCAAAATTACTTGACTGTTTACCTCGGAATTCCCGTTTCGTTATTTTATCGCATATAGATAAAGCCGTGTGCGCTTGCTCTCTTCCACTAGAGATAAAAGTAGCTGGATTTTCTAAGTACTCTGTCTGAATTCGGACTAGTGAATGGAATGCGAATAGATATACGGACATCACTGTTTACAACACTCACATCTACGCTAGACGGCTTTCCCAAAAACTTCAAACCAGGATTTAGAGTATCAAGCTTGGATTAGTCCATTCGACTGTTTAGAGGCACCAGCCACTCTTGATGGTCTTGAGTGACCAGTGCTCTTTGTCGGTCATCATAGACATTTCCATCGCATTTGAATGCATTTACCTCGTGGGGAACTACCGATCTCCCAAGAAGTGAAACCCAAACCCAATCAAGAGTGTATGGTGCCTCTGAACAATCGAATGGGCTAATCCAAGCTTGAGCCATTC